TGAGTTAGAGTTATAAGTGTGCCCATCACCCAGATATACCCATTAGGTATGATTTCACCCATCGTCTCCTCCCCCTCCCACCTGCTTGATTTCCTCTGGGTTTTACTAACATCTGTGCACATGAGTGTTGATCAATTAGTTCCAATTTAATAGTGAGTACATGTGGTGTTTGTTTTTCTATGCTTGCGATACTTCACTTAGAAGAATGGTATCCAGTTTCATCCAAATTGTTGCAAAAAGCCTCAATTCATTTTTTAATGGCTGAGTATAACCCCATAGTGTCCATATACCACATTTTATTAATCCATTCTTGTATTGATGGGTACTTGGGTTGATTCCACAGCTTTGGGTTTGTGAATTGTGTGGCAATAAACATTTGAGTATGAGTGTATTTTTGATACAATGACTTTTTTTCCTTTGGGTAAAGACCCAGTAGCAGGATTGCTGGATCAAATGGTAGGTCAAATTTTAGTTCTTTGAGGAATCTCCATATTAGATGTTTCACTGGTTTACAGATTCACCAACAGTGTATTAGTGTTTCTTTCTTGCCGCATCCACACCAGCATCTATTGTTTTGGGACTTTTAGATAAAAGTCATTCTTACTGGGGTTAGGTGATATTTCATTGTGGTTTTGATTTTCATTTTCTTGATGATTAGTGACATTGAGCATTTTTTCATGTTTATTGTCTATCTTTTTTTGAAAAGCTTCTGTTCATGTCTTTTTCCCACTTTTTAATGAGGTTGATTTTTTTCTTGCTCATTTTCTTAAGATCTTATATGCTCAAAGTTAGGTGTAAAAGTTTTGTTACATTTAGCTTAAACATTTTTGTTAAGAAAATTACATAGGGATATCATATCTCATCACATCTGGAAACATCAAATGTCAGGGTATTTTTTTTATGACACTAACTTTGATCACTTGATAAAGGTGATGACAGATTAGATCCCTCCATTGTAGAGGTAACTCTGCCCTCTTACAATTATGAAGGAATCTTGGGGCATTATGGGAATATCTTGTTTCACATAATACTTACAGCATTAGCTGATGATCCTCTGCCTCATGTTCTTGAAATAATTGTTTTATTATTGTCTTGGACATTGCTTCATCTCCATTTTCTTCCTGTATTTCCACCAGTTGTCTCTTTGATTTACCTATCAACATAAGACTTCATTAAATAGTCCTTCCTTGACATTGTATCCCACTCTAGTAACCATCCTTTCTCTTCACCCCAAGATCATCAAAAGGACAGTCAAAAGCCAGGCATAGTGGCATGCACCTGTAGTCCCACCTACTCAGGAGACTGAGGTGGAAGGGTTGCTTGAGCCTAGCATTTGGGGGCTATAGTAAGCTATGATTGCACCCGTGAATAGCCACTGCATTCAAGCCTGGACAACATAGCAAGATCCCATCTCCTAGGGGGAAAAAAAAGTCAAAATGCTATCTCTATCTCTTCCTGGATGATTTGGTCTTATCCACTCCTGTGACTTCTGCTACATACCCTAGAGCCACAGATCTGTGTCCCAAACTCTGAATTCTTTCCACACACTTCCTGGATTGTACTTCCAGGCTAAGCATTCAAACAGGGACTATATTAGACTTCTCTGCCCTCCTTCTGCTCCAACCCTTGCCTCTTCCAGTTTTCCCAGCTCAGGGAGGGGTGCCTCTAGCTCAATCTATTTTTTCTTACTACTTCCACACTTCACACCCCAAATTTGAGAGACCCCAGTCTTATCTACATATTTTGTGATCTTTCCTATTTCTGCTTACTATTCCTTCTGGCTGGAATGCCTTCCTTCTTCTAGTCACTCAACTTTCAAAGCTGGAAGTAGAAGGAAATGTCACCTCCTTTATGAAACTTTTCCACAAAGGAGGGAATGACCATTGGCTCAATTTTATGTCTATTCTGTACACTATGCCATCAAAGCAGCCAGAGTACATATTGCATAAATTTTTTGCTTTGCCTTCCTTCTCTTTAAATCCTCTGAAGGCAAGGTTATATCTTTGCTATTTATGTCTGACTTTTATCTGTCATTATGTTACCAAAAGCTTGGCATTTGTCCTCAGGGCCAACTCAGAAGAATGAGGACAAGTGGTTTGGGGAGAAGGAAAGAGAAGTTTTTATTACTTTGCCAGCAAGGGAGGAAAAATGGGTAGACCTTTTTGTCTCAAAATCCAAATTTCCTGAACATAAGCAGAAATATACAGCTTTTAAAGAGAGGGCCCCTCAGTTGTAGGCTATTGTGGTTAAGTGTTCTAATGGTTCCATCTCTGCCAAAGACAGAGCCCCACCTGGGCCCACCTGGAGGCTGGTGCTTGCCTGGGATCCAGGAATAAAAGGGCTTCTTTGCTTCTCCCAACTACTGGCCTGAAGCAGGGATGCAGTTTTCAGTTCTCAAAAAGACTGGGGGAAGTTTTAAAGAGACAGAAATTTTTTGCATATTTATTTTTCTCCCCAGGCCATTCTCTGTTCCAGTTGAGTAGGCCAACTGTAAATATTTGCATTCATGGCCTGCTTGTTTTTGTTACAGCCAGTGATAATTCTGGAGGCAAAATGCCCTGTGGTGGTGGTGAGGAGAGAAATCTTTGTATATCAACTACCTTCTCTTCTTGTACTGAGGAGTTTGATATTTAGTCCACTTTAATAGAGTCTTTAAGAGAGTTTCTGTACATCTCTTCCTCTTCATTTATGTTTTTTAAGGAAATGGATGAACATTTAGTTAAGACAAAGTACATGGTGGCAAAATTTAACCTGTGCTTCAGTGAAATAGAAAAAAAATATGCCAAAGTATCATTCTCTACTTAAGGTTTGAATTTGTAAAGAAAACGATGTTTTAGGTTTTATGTCATCAACCCAAACTTAGCTCCTTTGATTACATTTTTAAAAGCTAGAAAGAGTTTATATGCAAATACCTAAGTATTTATTTGATCTTCTTTTTACACCAAACCTTAACTTTCACTAATCATTTTATAATTTGACTTTGCTTTTTCTCTCCCTCTTTACGAGCTACCATTCACTGTTGCCAAGAACTATTCTGCTCTTTATTTCTCCACTTGTCAACTTAGTATTTATTCCCACTTATTATTAGTGTAATATCCATGTTAGCTAACTTTAGGATTGGTTTCTGTCTTCTTGTGAAGTATATGTAAGTTCTAAAATCTTTCCTTATGCTGCTCTGCCTTTTATGTTGTCTGATCTTTGTATCTCTATTTTGTTTTCTATTCCCTGCCTAGGCCTGTGACTTTATACCCAGTTTCCTTCCTACATCAAAAATCTGTTGCCTACAGCTACATGTCGAATCCACATGCCAAACCACCTGCCTCTGGGTTTATCCACAGCCTCCCACAGCTGGTTCATCCTGTTTGTTTTTGTTTTCTTTCATTTGGTTTTCTTTTGATTTTTAGCTAGTTCTTGAGTTGTACGGGAAAAGTATTAATTGCTTCCCAGGTGGGCCATGAGCCCATTCCTCTTTTTTTTTCCGAGACAGATTCTTTCCCCCTGGGTAGAGTGTGGTGGTGTGGCGTTATCATAGCTCACTGCAACCTTAAACTCCTGGGCTCAAGCAGTCCCCCTGCCACAGCCACCCAAATAGCTGGGACTACAGGCACGGGTCACCACATCCAGCTAGTTTTTCTATTTTTAGTAGAGATGGGGTCTCACTCTTCCACAGGCTGGTCTCGAACTCCTGAGCTCAAGCAATTTTCCTACCCTGGCCTCCCAGAGTGCTAAGATTACAGGTGTAAGCCACCACACCCAACCCCATTCCTCTTACTTTGTCCTCTTCCCATCACTTTTTGGATCCAGAGAAGCCTGCCTTTTCTCCCTGTGACTCATCTAAAATTAAAGAGATTACACAGATCTTCACTGGTCATTATGGCCATATTCTATTTTCTCAGGAAAAATGTTCCTTGGGAAGCATGCATCTAACTCATTCCTTTCCTCTTCCTGCTCACTATTAAGTTCTAATTATGTTAAAATCATTTTACATTTTGCTAATTCTGTTGTTCAGCATTGCTTCAACCCAAGCCACTTCCTTAAAGCAACACAGTGTTTCCTCTGAATGGCTTTTTGCATTCGTGTTTTTTCCCATGAGATGAAGAGTGCCTTCTAGTTTTATAACCTACAGCAACAGATACTGTATTATAATCCCACTGACACCAGAAAGAGGACCCTGAAAACTAGGGTCAGGCCTGAAGGCCACGGGGTTCCTTGGCTTCATGCAGGAAAGAATTGAAGTGTAAGCCTTAAGCTGGAAATGAAAGCAAAATTTATGAAACACACAAACAGCAAGCAGGCTACCCCATAGACAGAGTAGCACCTGTGCATTGCTGAAAAACTCTATTTATGGCTATCTCTTGATTATGTGATAAATAAGGAGTAGATTATTTGGGGGCTTTCTGGGAAAAGGGTGGAGATTTTTAGGAATCAACAGTTCCTCCTCTTTTCGTACCATATAAGGTAACTTCCCAGGGTTGTCATGGTGATTATAAACTGTCGTGGCGCTGGTGGGAGTTTCTTTTAGTATGTGAATATATTATAAGCAGGGTACAATGAGCTATGAGGGCGAGCAGAGTCATTTAAGTTACCATCTTGGCTCTTACTTGCCTTAACTAGTTTCTTCACTGCATCCCGTATTCAGGTTTTTGTGGGAGACCTTGGTTTGGGTCTTGCAACTTTTTAACAAGTTGGGCACATTAGTTTCCTATCTCATTATTAAAAACTTTTATAGTTTCCCAGAATGTCCTATCCTTCTTAACAGACTTCATATAAGAAGAGAAGACAGATTAAATCTAATGTGAATAATTAGGCCAGAACTCAATAGAAGAATCAATGCCCATGTCTGTTTAGGCTATTGCAAAGGTAGAGGGTACCTTGGACTAGGATAGTAGCAGTAGTAGTCTGAAGAATGTTTAGATTTTGGATATGTTTTGAAAGCAAAGCATACCATCCATGAAACTGTACTAATTTTTTCTATGCTCTTCTTTTTTCTCCTTTTTTAGTTTCGCTATTCAAATTGGCTTGACAGGTTGTATATGGTAGTGGGAACGTTGGCTGCCATCATCCATGGTGCTGGACTCCCCCTTATGATGCTGGTGTTTGGAGACATGACAGATAGCTTTTCAAATGCCGGAAATGGAGGTCAAAATTCTCCAAACATAAGTAATCAAAGTAAGTATTACTTGTGGTACCAATTTTATTGGAGACTGGAAAACCAGTCACTTAGAGTGATGTTTGTGGAGTCCTTACTAAATACACACTAGTGTGTTTAGTCCTGTGAGAGGTAGAAGGTCTGAGCTATAGTTCATATTCATAATGAATTGGAGAAGATAATCTTTATAAGCATTAAAATATGCAATGGAAATGATGGTGGAGATACATAGAAAAAGAGAGAGCTCTATGAAGTCAGAGATATTCTAGAAAGTTTTAGAAAGAAGTACAGGAACCTGATCAGAACCTTGAATGATAAGTAGAAATCTGTTATGATATTCCTTGACAGAGTGGATGGTTGTAAGGCAGGAGTCAAGGTGATCCTAAAGTTTTTAGCCTGAGAAACTGGAATGCAGTTACTACTAACAGAGATGAGAAAGATGGAAGGAGAGTAGGTTTGGTCAGGAAATTCTAGAAATTTAGTTTTGTACATTGTCAGGCTTCAGGCTTTCTGGAAGCAGATGCAGGAATAGAGAAATGGGTCCAATAGAAGTTATGTGTGTGTGTGTGTGTGTGTGTGTGTTTGTATTTTAAGATGGAAGAAATAGCTTGTCTGCGTGTTAATGGAAGTGATCTAAAAGAGGAGAGAAAGTGATATTTGAAAGAGAGGAAAGAGATTTTTCTGGAATGATAGCCTTGAGAATGGATGGGATTCAGTGCTCAAGAGGAAAGGTTTGCTTTAGATAGGAGCATGGATAGTTCTTATAAAAAAAACAGGTGGGAAGACAGTGTATTTGAGTGTTAGTGCCCAAGTGGGTAGATAAGGAGGAGAGAATCTGTGGAAGTTTTCTTCTGATTGCGTAAGTTTTCTCAGTGAAGTAGGAAGCAAGATATTTGGCTGATAAAGAGAGGTAACACAGCCCTCCAGGAAAGTGAATGAACTATTTAAATAATTTGGGCATAACTCTCTTTCTTTCCATTGCTCAAGTGGGGAGAGATAGATTGATATCTCTAAGCTTCCTAGTTCACCTCTGGTCAAGTATAGATTTCATTTAAACTAAAGTACACAAAGACAACCACTCAGTTTCCATTCAGGTGGTAAAATATTGAAAATGCCTGTTTGAGAATCACGCTGTGCTTCTGCCTGTGCTAATAAAGGGACAGCTGATGATCTCATTTATATATCAATAAGGAAATTATAGGTTATTTAAACAGTTGTGGGCCAAGTCTGGGAAGAGCAGGCCATCAAATGACTGCCTGAGGCTGACAGCTGAACTCTGATGGGCCATAAAAAATAAGCTAAGCTTGGGCTACATCCATTGGTCTCTTTTTTTAAAACTGCACACACATTTGTATACATTATATCTCTGTCACCCAGATATCAATTGGCTCTTACTCTTACAAGAAAAAAAGTCATCTCTGTAAGTAGAAGTAGTAATCGTTACCAGCTTACCTGGACCACCTACAGACATGTGTGATAGACTGAATGTTTGTTTCCCTAAAATTCCCATGCTGAGATCCTAATCCCAGTGTGATGGCGTTCAGAGGTGATGACTTTGGGAGATGATTAGGTCATGAGAGCAGTCCCCTCATAAATGTGATTAGTGCCCTTATAAAGGGAGACCCCAGAGTGCTGCCTGGTCCCTTTCACCATGTGAGGACACAGCTAGAAGGTACCAAATATGAGCCAGAAAATGGGCCCTCACTAGGCACCAAATCTGCCTTGATCTTGGACTTCTTCCCAGCCTCCAGAATTATGAGAAATAAGTTTCTGTTGTTTATAAGCTCCCCAGTTTATGGTATTTTGTTATAGCAGCCCAAATGGACTGATAGATAGTAGGGTGACTTAGTTACCTAATAACACACTTGAGTTCCAAACAGATGATGGTCTAGCTGTGAAGACTAGCTCCCTCCCGGACAGGCCCATGTGTCTTTATGCCAATCAAAGTCTCTGAGGCCAAACAGTGGCCACATCACCACACCTTGTCAGCTGGTAATTTGGACATTCATGGATGTCTGGATCATATGGCTTCTGCTGAGTCTGTAGATCATGATGCACTTATTTCCAGTCATTCCCATTCAGCTTACTCTTCCAGTCCCGGGAAAACTTAGGGAAGTGTTTGAAAGTTTGCCCCTGACACGCTCTTTAGAGGTGGTGTATTTATCAGTAAAATAGTAGGCTCTGAAGTTGGACTGCCTGGCTCTAAAACCCCATCCTTACCAATTTTTAGTTTTGCAGTTTGGGGAATTTTTTCATACTTTATTTGTTTAAAAAGGTTGGGTAACAACAGAACCTACTTCATAGGAGGTGACAATTAAATGGATTCATTCACTTAAGTCTCACTAAATAGAACCTAGTCATAAAAAAGTGCTCAACAAATAAATACTAGTCATTATCAACAGGAAACTCAGGCTTCCGTGTTCCTCACAACTTGCAATGATTTCATCTTTATAAAACTGTGATGCCACCTTAATTTTTATAGTTGTCGAAAGCATGGGGCATACTCAGTGCTTATTACAGATGTGAATAATCATCCCTTTAAGCAGCATTTCTTTACTACCTGGATCACCATCTCTGCCTTTCAGGGATGGCAGGTGTCCTTAAACTATGGCCCACAGGCCTAATTTGGCCTGCTGCCTCTTTTTGTATAGCCTGTGAGCTCAGAATACTTTTTAGATTTTTAAATCATTGAAAAACCATCAAAAGAATATATTTTATGACATGCAAATTTCAGTATCTGTAAATAAGGTTTTAATGAAATGCAGCCACCCCTATCATTTACGTACTGTCTAGCTACTTTCATCCCTCTGTGGTACATAGAGTAGTCGTGACAGAGACTGTAGGGTCTGCAAAGCCTAGATAGTTACTGTCTGGCTGTTTATAGAAAAAGGTTGCCAATCTCGGAGGTAGGATATTGAGTGAGGGGTTATTATCTTCGATCAATCCATCAATGAATTTGTATTAAAGCATTTTATGAGCCAGCTATAGTACATGCTCTTTTCATTCCCAACTCGCAGGAAGCTTAATACAGTGGGAGGGATGGACAAGTGAACCAACAAATGCAGTTGGATACAATTAGTACTGTGATATAGAGATAGACAAAATGCTCTGGGAAAGGAGAGGAGGGTCCCTGACTCCATATATAGGAATCATGGGAAGCTTGCAAGAGGAGGCGGTAACCAAGTTTGGTCAGCGTCTGCCTCTTATACAAAACATCTTCTTTGTAACAAGAGAAACTATTTTAAAATAAGGATTAAATAAAAGTTAATATGTTTCCTCTCTGCCACTCCTCATTGCCACCCTCCTTCTGTATATCCTTTCATGCCTTTCCAAAGGCAGCATGCTATCTCTGCGGTAACTTTTACTCTAGGACACTTGATACACTGTCACTAACCTGCTTGTCTGCAGATTCAGACTTCCACATACTCTAAAGCCTGCCTGGATAGGGCGGAATAACATCAAAGGTTTTGCTGCTGGTCTCGGATATGAGGGCAGACATGCTCTGTGATGCTTGTGGAGGAAGAACAAGCCTTCTGAATTCCTGAGGCTTCAGATGCTCTCAGACCTTTCTTGTTCTTGCCGTTCCCTAGGTGGACCCTCATTCTCTCTCCCTGGAGGGTGGACTAGATACCAGAACTGCCTAAGAGAAGTACTAGTCCTTGCTTAAGGCAACTTGGATTTGCTGAGGCTCTTGAAAGCCTGAGGATTTTTGCAGTAACATGGGATCTAACTAGAAAGCTCTAGAAACTTTTTGAGTGAGCTTATCCTTCTTTGCTGCTGCAATAGACCCCTTATAAGCTTTCTCTTCCCCTGATACCTTGCCTTTAACTATCAGACATCAGCCATTGTCCTGCAGTTTTATTGTGAACCTGACTTCCTGTCATTCTGTTCCCATCTATGCCTTGCTTGTTAGAATTTGTGCAGCCTTTGCCCTAAAACCTCTGATGACTGGGGCCTGGGAACTCTCTGGTTCTGTCATACCATTTTTGTAAACAAAGATTAACCACTGATGAAGTATAGTATTTTGTAAAATGTCTTCTTCCTTTTTTTTTGTTTTTTCCTGATATCTCAATCTCTTTCATGGAATGAATTCTCTTCTTCCTCATGAGACTGATTACTATCTGGAAATGAGCCTAGATAAAGGGGATTATGGTTTCATATGTGTTGTGTTGAAGGTGACAGGTTGAGAACACATATAAATGACAATCAGGCAGTTGAAGAAATGACATTGAACCTTGGCATAAAAGGACTAGAAGTCAGGTGTGGTGGCTCATGCCTATAATCCTGGTTCCTTGGTAGGCTGAGGTAGGAGGATCACTTGAGCCCAGGAGTTCGAGGCCAGCCTGGGAAACATAGTGAGACCCTATCTCTAAAAAAAAAAAAAAAGAGGAAAGAAAAAATCAAAAGAGTAGAACTAGAGACTCAGCAATATTTAAGTTGAAGATGTTAAATCCCCTGAGATAGGATATGGGGAAAAGTAGAGGGAATGGGAGCCCTGAGCCTTAAAAAAACTCAATTGTTAGCAATAACTAAAGCTAACCTTTATTAAGCATTTAATATGTGCTGGGTATATTGTTAGAGCTTTACATACATTAACTCTTTTAATGTACATGACTATATATATAGTCATATATATATATATATGTTTGGAAATGGGCCCAGAGAGATTAAGTACCTTCAAATTGCCCGGGGTCATGTGGCTAGTGAGCAGCAGAGTCAGGATTGAAACCCACACAGACTGACACTGAGTCCATGCAGTGAAGAAACTAGAGGGGTACTCAGAAAGGAAGACACTGAGGATAAAATACTCATGCAGAAATTAAAGGACACAGGGGGCATTTTCTATGTCTCATGGTAGTTAGTACCCAAAGATGTTCTTAAGTAAACTCTTGACTGTTTATTGTGTCTGATGATTTAATTTATGCTATATCCATATTGATAACTTTTTTCTTTCTTCAAATCTATGTTATGGTTTTTTTCTCTTTATTCTCTTACCAGATTGTGGGCAGGAGAATGGAGA